CTTCCGTCGCTTAGCATTCATGATTTTATATTTTGTTTGAGCAAACTTTAAATATTATTTAAGACCTTCGCCTTTAGCCCTGGCTAAATCAATATATCTGATATATTAAAAACTGTTCCAAACTATTTTAAACTCTCATGGATGACGGTTGACGTACTGCCCAGTGGTTGGTCACGTGGTATAATTTCTAAATCTCTCTAATGAGGGAGACTTGGAACCAAGAATTAACCAAAATGGCGGCTAAAAAACGTGGTTGTTCAAAACCTGAACTTTACCGTGATTTCACCGTTTGTACTGAACTTCAACACTGTGGCTAAAACAGTTAACCATCTGGTCGCTTATTCGTCGTCGTTTAGCTCCTTTACGTGTATAGAAATGTGCTACTTCAGCAACGGGAAACAAGCTTTGACGCAAGGCAGCACAACAAGTCTGTCGGCCCGGAGGTTAAATTAAAGGTAAGGCTTTTTTGATGTCGTAGAGATATGGTAGAGACTAAGGTTCTTTTATGAATGTAAGAATTTAAATTTTCCAACGGCTACATGCAGGGCTGTCAACCCCCTACGTCTTTAAATATTAAGAATTAATAGGGAAGGGATGATAGATGACGTTATACATGTGACGTGATCTTATACTGTAGTACCCCGGGGTATCCAATCGATGGAAATCGATGATCGGAAAACCAGTCGATCAATCTATATCAATCGATAAAATTAGTTAATTGGTGTCAACTGGTATCGGCCAATCGATGATCAATCGATAACCACACGAAAACCATTCATTGATAATTGCTATCGATTGGCACAGCAACCTTGAACAGACATCACGCATGCTACCTGTCCAATCATCCACCATTTTTAGGAATCCTTGGGGACGAAGTTGCTAAAACAATTCCGACCCAGTCCTCTCAATGCAGAGAATTTACCGCGTTGCACGTGTACTCAAATTACCCACTTGCCCATCATTGCTAAAGTACAACTTCTGTTACCAGAATTTTTCTGTGAAGGCAACGATGCAACCATTTAGTCCGTTTCTTGAAGTCTGTAGTATTGGCCTATGTTCGCACGTATCAATTAGTTTTCCACTTTGGATAACATTTTTAAACTTCAAACTTTTCTGTTTTTGGTTAACGTTCAGTCATGGGATATGTGTGGACGGGAGGCAAGAATGGGAACAGACTTTTGAGTTGTCAAAGGAAAACGGATAGCTGTGAATGGGGCATTGAAAAGAAAGAAAAGAGTATTGTTTCTGTTTATGTTCAAAGCATTAAAATGAAATAATGCTTGCAATTACTGCGTACAAAGATGTGACACTTATGTGCCGATTCCGTCAATCTGCAACCAATCGATACCAATCGATATCAATTTATCTATTGATTGTTATTGAAAATCGATACCAATCGATAACCACACAAATCTTAGCCATCGATGGGTCATCGATTATCCATATCATTTGATTAATTGATATCGATTGGTATTGGTTATCAAATTTATCGATTGGATATCCTGGGATAGTACGACACATGACATCATTTGTGCAAAAACTGCTTGTTGACTCCAATCAGCAGGAATTTGCAATGAAACAAACATGCAAAAAAGATCTTGTTGGCATTGTAACATTTGACCTGATTGGTATACTTCCTACCAATTGCATTATTCCTTACTTTACAATGGCATACCAGAGTTTATGAGGAAACCTTTGATGTTAACAGTTAAATAGCTCAAACAATGCAAAATCCGTTTGATTATCTGGGAGAGTTGACAGCCCTGTACGTGCGTACATTTCCTGACTCAAATCCCATTAAGAGGTAATGATAAAGTAATCTTTGTTCTCCATGCTCTCCATTTGGGCGAGCAAAAGGGAGCCACATGAGTGAGGTATGTGGGAGCAAGGGGGCACGGGATGAAAGGAGAGCTTGCAATGATCTCTCACAAATTTTCATTTGTACTTCGCCCAGATAAAGGGAAATGCCATTGGCTAAAAAATGACTTTCTGGAAATTAAAGTTGATTGATAACTCCAGACTCCTCTTCGACCCAACCAACTAAAGAAGTATACTCACTTGTCTTTTCATAAAGAGATTCGGGCCTTATCATCAGTTTCAACAGTGAAATTGCCACTAAAATGCCATCTTCTAAATGTTTTTAAACTTTTGGAGTCTTATATTTTTATGCATGAGTCACCAGTAATGTGCAACGATTGAAGATCATGGATGATAGGAAAACAACAAAGTTTTTTTAAATTTTGTTTCTGCACAAGCTAAGTCATAAAGTATTGCTCTACTAGCTGTAGTTAAGAATCAGAGAGGAAAAATACTTTTGATCCCTCAGTCTGAATAATATAATATCAGGATATGTCACTGGGAAACTATTATTTTTTCAGTTTAAATTTGTTATTTTAACGTCACAGTAATGACACGGTACCAGAAATTACTAAACCTTAAAATCCTACAATGGAGGACAAAAATCCTTGGAACGGTTAAGGAAAACCTTCCTTCCACATCCTTAACTTATCAAATGTTCAGATGTAGCATAATGTACACTTCTCTAACCACTTGGATACCGCGACTGGCCCTCCCCTCCCCCCTCCAAACAATGTTGGGATGAAGAAACACTTTTAGGACAGGGTAAAGTCTACAGGGGTGCACAAACTACAACATTGCTTAGGGGAGAGGGGGAAAGGGGGAAAAATTAAGGCAGATCGTGTTAATTGTCCTAAGAATTTTGTCCTCCATTGTAGAGCTTGGTACTATGAAGAAAAATATTGAATATTTTCAGCAAAAAATGGGCTACAGTGTAAATTATTTCAAACTACATGTAAAGCAGAGAAAAGCTCAAAAGTCTATTGACCCATACGGGACAACCAGAGATCAGTACCATAAAAATTATTTACATGTAGGAGACTCCTAAATAATCTGGGAGAGTTGGCATAAACATGCAGGCTTTTTCAAAGGCTCTCAAATGCTCCAACAGAACATTGAAAATACAGTAGGAGCAATGAACTGTTAGCGTGGTGCATACACCACAGGTATGCCGAAAGAATTGCAAAATCCTTTCGCTCGTGATGCTGACCAGCATTTTGACACAAATATGAAATGGGCGGGCCTCATTTTGGGTTGAATTCCCCTCTGTACAGAGAATAAATGTAGTCTGCAAAAACAGCCGTTTCTCCTCACTCCCCTCCACTGGGGATGTTTTCACGAGGATGAACGTCTGCTACTCAGAGACAGAAATTCCATACCGATGATGTAAATCAATGTTTACTTAAGAATTCTGGTGGTCATGGGGTTCCAAAGACAAAAAAAGATTTGTTCAATTATATGTTTCTCCTGGTCAATTTTATTAAAATTGTTGTGTTCATCTGCAAACAAGCTTCAGAAAACTCAAATGCTTCTTCTGGAGAAGAATAATTATATTCCACAAATATTGACTGTCTTGTTTATATTCATGGTGTTTACATTCTTTGTGGCCTTTTGTATTTTGCCTGTCATTCATAAGCAATAACTTAAACAATGTTACTTCTCCATCGAGCAATCAGCGCTTCTGACCTGATTCCAGACTGATTTTACCTCATCATTATGGAATTTTTTGTCGCTGAGTCGCAGAAGTTCCTCCCCACGAAATGTCTCCATGCAAAGGCAAGGAGCCAGGAAAAATGGCTGTTTTCGGAGGCTACGCAGAGCAAAACTTCAGTCAAATACATGTACCTGGGGTATGCCTGGGGGAAGATTGGAGGTTTTGGAATTGACTGATATATTTACCCCTCTCTTAAAATAAACCCCCCACTCTCTGATATAGGAAGCCTTCCTAATAGGCACTTTGAGATCCAACAATGCAACGGCAATGAGAATGTCATAATTACTAGAAGTGTAATAAGCAAACCAACAACTTTGCATGTGCGTCAGTCTTTTTTTACTTTTCTTTGCCATCTTTGGTCTACTTCATGTACGACATAAAAATGCCTATTAATTTTTGCGTTTTATGGAAGCGACAACAAAATTTTATTTCTCTTTCTGAACTTGTATTTTATGGTTTCTTGGAATTCAACTTTAGGAGGGTTTTGCCTACATTGACAAAGTAAGTGGGTAGAAATAATTGTGTAAGACTGAAAGAACACAAATTCACTTTTTAAACAATATTCTTATAGCAAATGACTTGTGTCTTTGGATCTTAAAGTCCCTAATAATGTAAGGGATAATTATAGTCCAACCTACAGTATACTAACAGCCAACTCTCTACAATGGCCACCTTTCTACATCATCTACTTTTTAGTGGTTAGTCATTCACTCTTGTTTAAACCTCTTGACAACGGCCAACTCTCAGACATTGTATAATTTTTTTGGATACCTCTCGGCTGACATGTTTGTCTGCCCACTCTTGGTCACCTAGTGGCCAAGATATCGGCTAACATGTTGACCGACACGCGGCTGACTGATGTAGACTGAGATACATGTACAGTGGTGTCAACTGATACGCAGCTGCAATGTCTACTGATATTTGACCGATATGTCGACAGAGTATCAGCTGATAGTGTCAAATTGTTGATACTCAGCTATGGGGTGCACAAATTATGAAAGATCTCAACAACAGTCACTTTCTTCTGTCCCCAAGGTGGGCATTGTGGAGAGGTTCAAATGTATTTAAAAATACGTTGGAAGTCTAAAGGCTTTGCTCAATCTTCAATTTCTTATTGTCTCTTTTCAGGCAGAAGAGAATACCAAAGATTAATTGTCTTGAACAGAGTTTGGGCAGATCTTCAGATGTTCTGAAGTGGCTCCAACAATATAGAGGAGTACTTACATGTAGCTGAAGTGATGAATGTCATGGCAACAGGAAAGAGGTCACAAGTTGCCAGGTTGGTTAATGTGAACCTTCATTGGTAATACTCTCAGTGGTTACCTAGTGAATTTTAGAAAACGATTTAGTTCTGGAAATGTTTGCTGATACAGGCCAGGAAGTCATTTTGAACAGTGTGGCAGGGCTTTTGCTGTCTGACTAATGTATACTGACTGATTGACTGACTGACTGATGACTTGCTGACTGACTGGCTGACTGGCAGGCTCAGTGACTGGTTGACTGACAGACTTACTGGCTGACTGACAGACTGACTGACTGGCTGACTGACTGACTGACTGACTGACTGACTGACTGACTGACTGGCTGACTGGCTGACTGGCTGACTGGCTGACTGACAGACTGACTGACTGGGCAACTGGCTAATGACTGACTGACTGGCTGGCTGGCTGGCCAACTGACTTACTGGCTAGTTGACTAACTGGCTGCCTGACTGGCTAACTGACTGACTGACTGACTTACTGACTGATTGGCTGGCTCACTGAGTGACAGATTGACTGATTGACTGACTGACTGGCTGACTGGCTGGCTGACAGGTTAAATGACTGACTGCACAACTGGCTAATGTCTGACTGACTGACTGACTGGCTGGCTAACTGACTGGCTTGTTAACTGACTGACTGACTGGCTGGCTGACCGACTGACTGACTTACTGACTGACTGACTGACTGACTGGCTGGCTCACTGACTGACAGACTTACTGATTGACTGGCTGACCGACTTACTGACTGGCTGACTGGCTGGCTGATTGACAGACTGACTGACTGGTTGACTGACTGACTCCCTTGCTGGCTAATGACTGACTGAGTGACTGGCTAACAGATAGACTGGCTAACTGTCTGGCTGGCTAACTGACTGGCTGACTAACTGACTGAGTAGATGACTGACTGACTTACTGACTAGCTGACCAATTGGCTTACTGGCTAATTGACTAACTAACTGACTGACTGACTGACTGGTTGAATGACTGACTGCCCTACTGGCTAATGACTGACAGACTGACTGACTGACTGACTGACTGGTTGAATGACTGACTGACTGGCTGACAGACTGAGTGGCCAACGATTTAGTTCTGGAGATGTTTGCTAACACAGGCTAGGAAGTCATTTGAATATGGCAGGGCTTTTGCTGAAATTTCAAGTTACATTGTACTAGGTATATAAAATTAGTTGGAGGGAATTAGCCTGCAAAAACAGCCATTTCTCCTTGCTCCACCCATGTGACAAGGCTATGTGTTCTTGGTTTGCAACCACTTGGCAAGGCAGCCATGTTGGGAGTCAAAACAGTAGAATTTTTTCCTCAAAGAATTATTACAAGACTGTTGTGATGTCAGCTCAGACCAGTGATTGACTGCCCATTTGCAATTTGCATATCTCCCATAATACACCTTGTTTGCCTCCCAAAACTTTTCATAATCTTTGTTTTTAATATCTCCTGGGTATTACAGTGGCCCCAAGAGAAAAAAAAGACAATGCTTATGCAAAATTATGGGGGGCAAACAAGGTGTATTATGAGGGATATGCAAACGCCAAATTGCTGCCTCTCTGCAAACCCCAAGCATACCACTTTTACTAAAATATCTAAAGTCTCAGAGAGCTCTCTTATGGACGTTTGTTTATTTGAATAAAATTGTTCATTCCAGAAAACTGACATTTACAGAGATGCTAACCTCTGGAGATCTAAAATCAGGAGACTCTCTTTTTTGTACTGCACGTCTCCCCAGAATATCAGCCCCAAAATTATGACGTGGGAATTGATTAGGACATTATACAAAGTCGTACATGAATTGCATAGCAGAAAAATTCACTTCATGATTGTAATGGTAAAATAATCTTTGCTGGCCTGGAACCACACAAGCAAGGTATGCGGGAGCAAGCAGTGAAGCCTGGAGGGGTGCAGGAAAGGAGAACTTGCGATGATCTCTGATCGCAATTATTTTCATTTGTACCTCACCCAGACGAAGGGAAAATACCAAATGCCTTTTGTCTTTTGTCTGTTATTTGTATTAAAGTAATAACTAAAACAATGTAACTTCTCCATTGAGCAATCAGCGCTTCTGACCGCTTCCGGACAGATTTTACATCATTATTATGGAATTTTTTGTTGCTGAGTCGCAAAAGTTCCTTCTTGCAAAACATCGCCATGCAGCGACAAGGAGCAAGGAAAAATGGGTGTTTTCACAGGCTACTCAGAGCAAAACTCTAGTCAAATTTCTGGGGTATGCCTAGGGGGAGATGGGCGGATAATATTATATCGACAGAGTATCGGCTGGTAGTGTCAACCAATACAGGGTGCAAAGAAAGTCATTTTCACAGCTTGCCATTCGGGCAAGCTGAAGCTACAACCACTTGTAAAAATGTTGAGACACTCCCACGAAAAAACGACCTTTCTTGCTTCAAATCGCTCCTCGTCACGGGTCTGTGAGATATAATACTGATCTGCCTCCTCCCTCCCATTCAAAGTTGTTCCTCCAAGTTTTGAGTATGGTCTTGTATTGCTAGCAACTTTGATAAGGGATGGAGGGGGGATCACAAGAACAAGATCATGGACAGGCCACTTATGCCAAAATACGGTGTACAGTGTCTCAACTACTTTTGCAACTGGTTGTAGCATTTACCAGCCCAAACGTCATTTCAACTAGCCCCCTAAATTTTTTGATCAGCAGGATTGATTTCACAGTTCTTCTGTAAGATGAATTCCTCAAAATACTTCACAGAATTAACTAGCCCAATAGCAAAATCTACTAGCCCTAGGGTATCGGACACTACTTTCTTTGCACGCTGCAATACTCATCTATGGGGTGCCCAAATTACAAAAGATCTCAACAACAGTCACTTTCTTCTGTCCCCAAGGTGGGCATTGTGGAGAGGTTCAACTGTATTTAAAAATACCTTGGAAGTCTGAAAGCTCAATCTTCAATTTCTCATTTTCTCTTTTCAGGTAGAAGAGAATACCAAAGATTAATTGTCTTGAACAGGGTTGGGGCAGATCTTCAGATGTTCATAAGTGGCTCTAACAATATAGAAGGGTAGCTGAGGTGAAGGACATGACATGACAGCAGGAAAGAGATCACAAGCTTAAGTTGCCAGGTTGGTTTGTGAACCTTCAATGGTAATAACTCTTAGTGGTTACCTAGTGAATTTTAGAAAAAACGATTTAAATAGTTCTGGAAATGTTTGCTGACACAGGTCATGAAGTTGTTTGAATGGGGCAGGGCTTTTGCTGAAATTTCAAGTTACATTGTACTAGGTACATAAAATAAGTAGGGGGGAATTAGCCTGCGAAAACAGCCATTTCTCCTTGCTCCTTGCCGCCAACAACGTTTTTTGAGGAGGAACATCTGCGACTTAGTGACAGAAAAAATGATACTGATCATCATCATCATCATCACCATCATGACTTTATTAAAGTGTCAAAATATAGTATAGTATTTAGCCGAGGGTAAAAAATCCTCTACTAACTGGGGACACTGAAATAAGACTAATTATTTTTAAGTTAACAACTCACAATCCTAAAAAAGCTAGCCTAGATACACTGAAACATACCATAAAAATTAATTATACGGCAATTTACAATAGAATGATTTTGATTTTTACAATAAGATGATACAGTTATTCACTAGAATGCTCAATAAAAAAAACGCAATACGCAATTCTCACAATCAGACTTTAACTTAAGCTAAAGATTGACAAGACGAATCTGTCGTTTAAATGATTGTAGTGATGGTAAATTTCTAAGTTTGCTAGGCATGCTATTCCACAATTTTGGTCCCAGATATCTCGATGAATGTTTCCCATATTTTACTGAATGAAATCTGAGTATGTGAAAATCGGCTCCTCTAAAGTTGTAGCCAGTGCTATTCATTGAACCCTTACGCCAAATTCACTGCTATTTGTTTATTAGTGATTAGCATGGTATGGTATTTGGAAGGGTTCCCCATGAGCCTGGGGGGGGGATGTACTTTAGGAATTTCTGGGTGGCGATGTGCCGCTGGGACCCTGGAACCCTTAACCTATACCAGAGTCATACCAGAGCTAGTTTTGCTACCCTATACTATATTAAACTCCCTAGATGCCCCCTATCCTTGGGTAGCTTTTTTCCAGAAACTACGGAGGTCACTAGCACAGTCTAGCCAAAACAAAATCTTATACCACAATCCCTAGACTAGTCTAGATAAAATCTTCAACCAACTCATCAGTTTCCTGAAAAATGATACCCTATTCTAGACCCAAACGCTCTGAATTGTATACCCTGTTCTAGATTAAACTGCTTGAAAACCATACCCTTCACAGCAGCTCATACCTATATAGCCCATATGATATGACAGTACCCCCCCCCCCCAACCAGGCCCTTGAGTAAGTTAGATTTATACCATAGTGAGGCTTTTGTGGTATTTGCATTAAGATTATGATTCACTGTAGACACATTTTCATTGATTTCGTGAAGCTGATGATCATCAGCGTACATGCTTTTTATTAAAAGGTTCTGATCAATTTCATAAGCTAAGTCATTTTGGAAAATGTTCCACAATAACAGCCCCTACGCTGAACCTTGGGGACAGCTATAGTTAACTCTTCTCCAAGAACTTTTTTGAGATGCTAGCTTCACTCTGTTATAACGGTCATATAAGTAGCTACGCAACAGCCTAATTAGGCTCCCTTGGAAACCATACACTCTGAGTTTACTCAGCAACAGAGCTGGATGCATGGAGTTTAAGGCCTTCGACATATCAGTCGTTAAAATGCCCACAATCTGTTTGTTGTCCCTCGCCAGCCTCCAGTGCTTAATAAGTGTAGTCTCACAGCTGCGAGTTTTGCGGTAGGCTGTCAGAGTCTGTTCCTGGTGATGGTCGAATATACCCGCAAGCTGTTTAGCTACAATCTGCTCAAAGACTTCATCTGCAACTGGAAGGACGGAGATGGGTCTAGAATTCTCCTTTAGTAAGGGGTTGTCATGCTTGAAGACTGGCACCCATTCGCCCTTTTTCCATAACTGGGGCCATTTTCATTGTCTCCATCACTTGTTGAACTTCTGCTTTTTGAATAGGTTTGAATGCAAGAGCTTCATGTTGGATCGAATGCTGTGTTATTTTTAAGACTCTTGGGTGGTTAGTGAAATCACTCCCAGTTAGGGAATCAACATTCTCCCGACCAATATCATCTGCAATTGTTGCAAAATAGCCAGCCAGGGTTTCTGCTACCTCATCTTGATTCCTGACAATTTCTTCACCGAGTGTAAGATTTAATTGGGAGCTTTTTTTGGATGCCTTCGAGCTTAAAAATGGCATAAAACTTCTCTATAGAAATCTGCTGGGTTCTCCTTAAGGTGATTCGATTTATCCCTCCAACATGACTTGATTGCTCTTTGCCTCTGTCTCTTGGCTTCATTGTGGCATTTACGTAGCTTATCCCAGTTGGAGTCTGATTTGTCCTTGTACATGTACTAATTTGCTAATGCCTTTCTCTTAGCTCTAATAGCGTTCTTCCAATTTGTTGTCGTATATGGCACATCCTTTGCTCTCACCCTCATTTTCTTTGAGGGAAGATTCTCATCAGTAATAAAATTATTAGTGTTCCAGTAGTGGACTTGGTCATCCAAATCGTCAAAACTTCTCCAACATGCCATGGGGCTTCAGAGAGGTCCCAGCTAAACTTGTTACAATCAAAGTTTTTGTAACTTCGAAAAGTTATAACTTTGCTAGGTTGTCGTGGAAGTTTTTCCTTCAAGGTTCAATAAATAAGGGCATGATCACTAAGTGAAGGGTGGTAGATCCCACCACTTTTAACCCTTTAACCCTAAGATCAAAATTTGAAATCTCATTATTTTGTTGCCCCTACTCATTTCCTATAGAAGAAGTGGGGAGAAAATGATAAAATATCAAGCAAATTCATCTTGTGTGATCATGTCCATAAGTCTCATGACCACTCTGTTTTACAAAGCATTGATATTACAAGGAGAAATTTGATGCTGATCACTGTTAGGGCTTAAAGGGTTAAATTGGTCTAACTTGTTTGTTAACAGTATATCAATAAGGGTAGAGGTTGTTATTGACCCTTTCTGCTCCGTGCGTGTAGCTTTGTCAATAAGACAAGTGAACTCTTGTTCCACCTCCAAGTCAAGGAGTAGTTTTCCTTCACTTTTATCTGGCCTGCGCCTGTCAAGATTGGGATCACCAAGAATAGGAACAGAATCCCGATGCAAGGAGGCCCAAGTGCAAATGCCGTTAAGTTCATCCTCAAGTTGTAGTCGATAATTACCTGACACCAGTTTGGGTGGACGATATTATCATGTCAGTGGTACCAACTCTTATGTCAACTGCAAGAGGCTCCAAGGTCTTAAAAGTCCTGTTGATCCTCAGCCTTTTACATGGTAGTAGCATTGGGCAATTCCAGAAAATATCCATACCCAACCACGGACGGCTTCCATGTATTATCCCCCCCGTGCCTTCGGAAATTCCAAAATGCGTTACCCCCCCATGCCCTCAGAATTCCATAATCGTGAACCCCCCCTCCCCTTCAGAATTTCCGTTTTTTTGGACGTACAATTTCAACTTAGCAACGCCTATATGAACAAACGAACATGAATTTATGCCTCCTCAAGGCTGTGATCTAGCGGCGCCAGGCGACAAGCTTTCAGACTCTAACCTACCGCTAGTAGACAGGCTGTGCAAACTCCTTTTTAGGTCCGAATTTGGCAATAAAAATAAACACCACTAACGGCAATTTTACTCCTCTTTGTTTTCTTGTGCTGTTTTGACGTTTACAAAGCAAAATAGCTCAAATTCAGACTGTTAAAATCTTTCGGTAGTCAAATATACCGTCGAGGCGTGTTGTGTCCTTTTATAGGTCATGTAGTGTGCACAAAAAGTGTTCTAATCTGACAGGCGTTCCTTGGAAGCCAGGGACTGGTGCGAGTTTTTTCACTGTTCATCAGATGGGAGTAACAAGAAACTTGCAAGCAGAAAGATACATATTCCATTTTTTTTTTCATGTGACAAGAAATTCATCAAGGTTAATGTGAAACCCACATTTTACTGTTCACTTCTATAAGTTATGAGCGTAAACACATGTCTGATCTATCGATGCTTGTCTTCTGCTTCCGCGGTCATACGTTCGTGGTTTATTTACGAACTACAAAAGTCCACAACAATAGCGTTTTCAAGGAACTCACTCTACACTTTCTACTCCAAAAATCCCACCTGTGGAGTTACCCCATGCCTTCGGATTTCCAATCGTAAATACCCCCCCATTCCCTCAGAATTCCATAATCGTGAACCCCCCCTCCCCTTCGGAAATCCTAAAAGCCGTCCGTGGTATGGTATGGATATTTTCTGGAATCGCCCATTGATACATAGACCAGAATGCCACCTCCACCCTTCTTCCTGTTATTGCGGTATAAGGTATAGCCAGGAATTGTGAATTGATTATCAGGGTATGTGGAGTCAATTTTTGTTTTGCTGATAAAGATAATGTGAGTCTTTAGTTTTCTGATCATTGCAACAAGTTCTCGTAGAGTGTAAATGCCACGTGAGTCATCGTGACTTCCATCATTACTCTCGGTTGTGTCCAAGAAAAATGATGAATCAAAAAACGAGGCCGAGAAATCAAAAGGTAAACCACAACTGTTGCCACTACAAAGCCAACGATCTTGGGAATGACTTAGAGCGACATATGTCTTGAAATCCATATCGATGCATTTGATATGATGCCATCTATCACACCTGCGACACTTAATCCCTTTCTGATTACACCGGGCTGGTTTTTCACAAATAGCATATGGAAACTTCCGTGCCGATTTTTTCACAGTAGTAGATGGCACTTTACAGTCAGGACCAGGGTTCAAACCTATATCGCCACTAGAAGCCAGTCGAGCTAAGTTGAAGGTGGCATTAAAGCATCTGACCGAAATGATGACCACTGACCCTTCACACTGATGCTTACATAATAAAATACAGTACATTCATTGGGTTCCAAATGCAAATTTGTTCAATTTTACATTTCTTCTGGTCAATTTTGGTAAAGTGTTGTGTTCATCTGCCAATGAGGTCCAGCAAAACTCAAAATAATGTTTCTTCTGGAGAGCAATATACCGGTATTCAGCAAAATTAATATTGACTGTTTTGTCATACAGCTGTAGATTCATCGAGTTTGCATTTGACTTGTCTGTCATTCGTAAACAATAGCTAAAACAATGTAACTACTCCATTGTTTAATCAGTGCTTATGACCAAATTCCAGATAGATTTTATGTCATCAGTATGGAATTTCTGTTGCTGAGTTGTTGACATTCCTCCTTGCGAAACGTCCCCCAGCGGTGATGAATGAGAGAAACGTATGTTTTTGCAGGCTAGAGGGGAATTAAACGGTTAAGATGTCTCTTTTGTTTTATTTTACTTTTGTTTGGTGTGAATGTAGTCATGGGTACAGGGTTTCAATAAGGTTTTGAGTAGGTGGCAAAACTTTGAAGTAGACAGAGGTGGAAAAAGTTCGCACCTGTTTCCAGGGTGGAACGGGCACATGAACCCCCACTCCCCCTGCCTCCCCTAGGCCTCCGGCCTTCATTAACATTCCTGACATGAGGTTCAGCTGGTGTTGTTCCACAACCCTTATTGTGGTGAAATCATTTAATGTTGAAATTAATGTTGCAATTTGCTTTTGAACAGGGTGGGACAGATCTTCAGGTGTATATTCATGAGTGGCTCCAACAATGGAGGCAGCTGTGAAAACTAAAGGACATCATTGCCACAGGAAAGAGATCACAAGTTCACAGGTTGGTTGTGACCTTCATTGGTGTTACTACTAGCATGGCAAAATAGAATTTGTAACTTAATCATGTGGTAAATTGGCTGTCATTTTGATTAGGTATCAGTCCCAGTTAAATTGGGTATTTTTGATCATAAAAAAAATAATACATGTACTTCTTTACATCCTCAAGTTTACTAGTCTCTGAATGTGATGTGTTTAACCTCATTGAATGAAGTTATTAGTATTATCTATATTATTAAATTATTATTATTGTTGTCATAAATTATTTTATTATCATGGCTACAATCTGTTGCAAAAAGGCTTGAAGCACCAACTTATTTATTTGGCCAAAATTGTTTATCAGACATTGTGTAATTCAAGAATGCTCTTGCCAATTATATTCCAAGATTGTATTCAACCCTTGAAATAATAACTTTGATTGGGCAGGGTGAGATGAAAATTTTAAAAATTGCCTACCCTTTTGTCATATGTTGTTTACGTTTACTAGCCTGGAGTAGTCTTGCGGGCCTTCCAACCTCCGTTTTCAGCTTCCTTCTTACATAAAAGTACATTTTACTTTACCTTGGCAAAATGTTGCTTGCCCATTGGAGGTAAACATGCTAGCCTGATGTGTTGGTCTACTTGCCCAAGGTTCTTGGACAGCAGTTTTGTCATGCCAAGGGGTGATAATTCCTTGTATTCCTAAAAATTCTCTGACATTGAATTATAAAAAGAGCTTTTTTAAACTAAGTGTGTCTCAGACATTTTGCATCTAGCTTGTACCAAAATTTAATTTCAGGTTGGAATTTTGTAACATAGGTTGATTCTCAATTTCTTTTGTCTCCTTGGCCTAGGAGACCTAAGAAATTGAGAATCAATCGAAGTTAAATCAAAACTACCCTTAAAGCAAATGACATAAAACAGGTACTTTTTGTAGTAAAAACAAAAAAATCTGTGTTTTATACAGCCAAGGCCTGCCTTACAGACACCTAGTTAATCAGGGGCACCCAATGAGAATATAGTTCAAAACCACTCAAACATAGCATTGTTAAACGTATTTTAGTATTTAAACGGTAGATATAGGCATATTTTTATCCCCTAAAAATTTTTCATCTGTTTGGATTTCCTAGCTGAAAGTCTAGTGATGCGAAAATTATAGGGATCAAAACTTATCTTTTCGAAAACTTCAGCCAGAAAAAAGGCTCCCAAAGATTCTAGGAGACCTTTTAAGGGTAAAAATTCGTTAAAAATGGGCAATTATACCATTTTTTAGATGTTCGAAAATCCTAGGAGAGGCAGGCAAGCAAGAAATTTTACAACAAATGCTGCGAAAATTCTTGATTTCAAATTGTCTTCCGAACAGATATTTTCCGAAAATTGTCGTTGGGTGCCCCCGGTTAATATGGACACCTCATTATTACAGACAGTTTGCTTTGTCCCCGGGGTAAGAAACCCCAACATTTTTCTCTATAAATTATTCAATCCACTTCATATGGACACCTGTTAATACAGACCTTTTCTAATGGCCCACTCAGTGTCTGTATTGATTAATGGGGTTTGACTGTAATGGTTCTTAGAATATCTATGAACTGATAAACAGAATAATTATTATTGTGATGTTCATGTTTGTAACTTGACTTACATGCTTATGTATGCTTTTGTTTTTCTCATCCAGATCAGATGCATTATGCCACAAACAGACAGGATCAAGTCCTCAACATTTAGCCTTTAGAGGTTATCTTAAGTACCATATTACTTTGTAATCCAGCTCTTGAGTGAACCAGATAAACGAAATGTGGCTTGCTTGTTCAAAAGATTATTAATCTTATCCAGGGCACAAAATTAAAAATGCATTTAAATGCACTTTAAAGGAGTTAACAATAAAGTGCATCTTTAAGGGGTTGGTTGGTTTGCGCACACCAAGTAGTTCGCTACAAAATTCACATGATACAAGTCATGTGGAGATTTCTTTGCACAGGGATTTTCATCCTACGAGGTTTCTTAATACAACTCTTTCTACTGCAGAAATTAGTTATAATAAGTAAAACATACAGGGCAAAAGTATCGACAGCTGATTCCTCGTATGCAGTTGAGGGCAAAATTACTTAAGTTGCTGTTGTGCAGAAGAGTTGGTTTTGATTTTAAACAGAATCAGGAACATCTCAAAGGACTGAAGTTAATTGATAAAAGTGAGTTGAATCAATGTTTATTTTCAAAGCATCTGGTGGCTGAGTGTAGTTGGAGAAATTCACTTGACCCTAAATATAACCTTTTCAGTCTGTATTTGAAGCTCAAAAGGCAATCCAAATCACCCGCTACACAGAATGAAGGAAAACTGTCCAAAACACTTTTAAGTGTTCAAACCACTTGAAAATTAATTCGAGAGTTTCAATAAATTACTGAAGCAAGTTAAGTTAGCAATTTCACATTGATTTTCAGACTGGAAAATGGAATTATCACAGCCTTCATCTTATTCAGAGAAAATGCTCATAAAATTTCAATTTTATAATCCTATTGTGCAAAGAACCACTCAGTTTAAAAAATTTGGCTTGATAATTAATCATGCCAAATAGATTTTTGATTTTATTCCTGGATAAGTATTAGCTTGCTTTTGATCAGTTTTGCCACAGCTACATGTATGCTATATGTATAAGCTAAGTTCTGCTATAGTTAAATAAAAAAAACAGTTTTACATTATTTTCATGTGCCAATTTTTGCAATTACAAATTGCAATTGCAAAAATTTAGAACTACCGCATTATTAATGACCCAATAATGCTATTGAAAACTTTAATTAAAGCTCACAATCATTGTGTCAACAAACATGTAAAAAGGTGAAAGAAAACAAGGGAAATACTATTTTGGCGTAAAAGGTCGAAACAAGCCTTTAATTTTTTCCAACGTAAAGATAAATTCATGCAATGTGCTCCAAGCTTACATTAATGTGCATTGAAGTTTCATAATTATCATTCAGCCAAGTCAGTTTCTGGTTCAAAGAACCTAATAGATGTATGTATTCTGCAGTTGCACTCAGAAAGTTTAAGAAAAAGGTTTAAAACAGAAAACGATTAATAAGTTCATCAGAGTGTTGCTGAAAAGAAAATCTGCAAATCAAAGTGGCAGCCTTAACTCAACAACCTTAACAAATGATTGAACTTATTTTAGCACTTTATCAAAAACAACTTTGTTAAAACATTAAAAAGGGCTGATCACTAAAATCTCATTCCAAATTTTGCAAAATCTGAAATTTGAAAACCATAAAAGAATTCGAATTTTGTTGGCACTGTGGTTAGATCTTTGTTCAAAGTTCTCATGATTTTCACATGAAAGATGAAGAGATGTAAAACTGATTGTGGGTTAGATCAGACATGCAATCTACATTGTGGCTTACTGACTAGCTGACCAATTAGCTTACTGGCTAATTGACCAACTGATTGACTGACTGAATGAATGAATTAATGACTGACTGACTGACAGACTGACTGACTGACAGACTGACAGGCTGACTGACTGACTGACTGGTTGACTAACTGACTGCCTGACTGGCTAACCGACGGGCTTGTTGACTGACTGGCTCGTTGACTGACTGACTCACTGACTGGCTGGCTGACCAACTTACTGACTTACTGTCTGACTGACTGGCTGGCTCACTGACTGACAAACTGACTGACTGACTGACTGGCTGACTGACAGGCTGACTGACTGGCTGACTGACAGACTGACTGACTGGTAAAATGACTGACTGCACAACTAGCTAATGACGGACTGACTGACTGGCTGGCCGGCTAACTGAGTGGCTTGTTGACTAACTGACTGACTGACTGGCTGGCTGACCGACTGACTGACTTACTGACTGACTGACTGACTGGCTGACTGACTGACAGACTCACTGATTGACTGGCTGACTGACTGGCTGATTGACAGACTGACTGACTGGTTGACTGACTGACTCCCTTGCTGGCTAATGACTGACTGAGTGACTGACTGGTGAAATGACTGAATACACAACTGGCTAATGACTGAATGACTGACTGGCTGGCTGGCTAACTGACTGGCTTGTTGACTGACTGACTGACTGACTGACTGGCTGGCTGACCGACTGACTGACTTACTGACTAACTGACTGACTGACTGATTGACTGGCTGACTGACCAACTGGCTGACTGACTGACTGACTGGCTGATTGACAGACTGACTGACTGAGTGACCGGTTGACTGACTGACTCCCTTACTGGCTAATGACTGACTGAGTGACTGGCTGACAGACTGACTGGCTGATTGACCGGCTAACTGACTGGCTGGCTAACTGACTGGTTTACTGACTAGCTGACCAATTAGCTTACTGGCTAATTGACCAACTGACTGACTGAATGAATGAATGAATTAATGACTGACTGACTGAGTGACTGACAGACTGACAGGCTGACTGACTGACTGATTGAATGACTGACTGCCCGACTGGCTAATGACTGACAGACTGACTCACTGACTGACTATATGACTGACTAACTGACTAACTGCCTGAATGAATGGATTAATGACTGACTGACTGACTGACTGACTGACTGACAAACAGGCTGACTGACAGACAGACTGACTGACTGACTTACTGACTGACTGGCTGATTGACTTGTGGCTAACTTGATAACTGACTGACGGCTTTCCATGCAAGAAAAAAACTGACTTATTAATCCTTATATTGATGGTACCTTAAGTTAGCTGATGGAATGACTGACTAACTGGCTGGCTGAATGCTGCATCTACTGTCTGGGGGTTGACAGACTAATATACCGACTGAAAAATTTAGAGCTGACTGTTTGACTGTGATCTTGGGTTAAATGCTTTAAGAAATCAAATATGGCCACTATGAAAAACCATAATTTTAATATTTGAATCAAGGAGGGCTTGTGTTTTTCTTTAACTACATGTCGATGATCATCAGAAATTATATCTCGGCCCATTTTGTCCCCAAACAATCTAAGACAAAATTTTTGCCCAAAAACATGGGTTTAACCGGTTGAAAAAATGTCAATATGGTGATGTCAATATGGTGATGTTACTATGTAACATACATAATAATTATTTTGTAGTCTAGGACAGCTTGTTTTCTATCTAGACAATCATCAAACACTACTTCAAGGCCTATTTTGTCCTAAAACAAACAAAGAGGAGGGTTGTAATTTTTGACCAAAATTATGGTTGACGGCTTCAAAAAAAAGCCACCGTGGCGACTATGTAAAATCAATATTTTTAAAGCCTAAGAGAGCTTGTTCTCTAACTAGATGATCATCAAACATTATTTCTAGGCCTCTATTGTCCAAAAACAAGCAGGAAATTTCTAAACAAAGAGGAAACTTGCAGTTTTTGACGAAAATCGTGGGTTAACCTTATTGAAAAAATACAGTTTGGTGACTTTTTAAAATTTATATTTTTATAGTTTAGGAGGGCTAGTTTTCTACTTGGATGATCATCAGACATTATCTCAACTGTCATTTTGTCCAAAAACAAACTGAGATGAAATTTCCAATTTTGACCAAAATCATGGGTTAATCCCTTTGAAAATGTCAATATGTCCACTGTGTTAAATCGATATTTTTCAGTCTGGAAAGGCTTGTTTTCTAATTGGATGATCAGGAAACATTATTTCAAAGCCCGTTTTGTTCACAAACAAGTAAAGAGGAAAATTCCAACTTTTGACCAGAATCTTGGTTTAATCCCTTTGGAAAAATCTAGTTTGGTAACTCTGTAAATTCAATATTTTTGTACTTTAGTAGGGCTTGTTTTCTAACTGGATGGTCATCGAACATTATTTCAAAGTTCATTTTGTGCGAAAACAAACAAAGGAAAAATTTGCAACTTTTGACGAAAATCATAGGTTTCCCTTTGGAAAAATCTCAATATTGTGACTTTGTAAAATCCATATCTTTTTAGTCTAGAAAGGCTTGTTTTCTTACTGGATGGTTAGCAAACATGATTCAAGGCCCGTTTTGTTTCAAAACAAACAAAGAGGAAAATTCCATTTTTTTAATCTGAATTATGGGTTAATACCTTTGGAAAAATCTGTAAATTCAGTATTTTTGAACTTTAGTAGGGCTTGTTTTCTAACTGGATGATCATCGAACATTATTTCAAAGTTCATTTTGTGCGAAAACAAACTAAGGGGAAATTTGCAACTTTTGAAGAAAATCATAGAAAAATCTCAGTATGGCGACTTTGTAAAATCCATATTTTTTTGGTCTAGAAAGGCTTGTTTTCTTACTGGATTGTCAGCAAACATTAGAGGAAAATTCCATTTTTTGACCTAAATCATGGGTTAACCCCTCTGAAAAAAAATACAGTATGATGGCTATATAAAATCCATATTTTGATTGTCTAGGAGGACTTATTGTTTAACGAGATGATCATCAGACATTATATTATTTCTAGGGCTATTTTTGTTCAAAAACAAGCAACTATGAAATTTCTAATCTTCGACCAAAATCATGGGTTAACCCCTTTGAAAAAATCTCAATATGGCCATTGTTTAGAATCAATATTAGTATAGTCTACGAAGGCTTGTTTTCTAATTGGATAATCATCAAACATAATTTCAAGGCTCACTTGTTCAAAATCGAACTGAGATAAAATGTTTCCAATTTTTGAACAAAGTCATGGGTTAACACCTCTGAAACAATCCCAATATGTGCACTGTGTAAAACCGATATTTTTTTTCGTCTAGGAAGGCTTTTTTTCTAACTGGATGATCAGCAAACATTATTTCAAGGCCCAATTTGTCCAAAAACAATCAAAGAGGAAAATTCCAATTTTTGACCAAAATAATGTTTTAATCGCTTAAAAAAAAAGCCAGTATGGCGACTATGTGTCAGAAATCCATATTTTTGTAGTCCACGAGGGCTTGTTTTCGTAACTAATTGGTCAATTTACCTCGTTAGTTGTTGACTGCATGACCTATTGATATACCTTCTTAACTGGGATATCGACGTATTGACTGACTTAGTGACTTATTGACTTTATTTACTGCATGTAACTGAATGAATGACTTGTCTTGACTGTATGGCTCTTGGTGGATTGCATGACTGTGCTAGTTTATTTCTTGTTTTCTTTACTGTGAACTTTTATGATGAATCCCAAATCTGCCTTGCATTGCGCAAACTGCAAGGGGAGTGGGTACTAACTTTTGGCTCCATGAACTATGGGATCGTATGAGTAACAGTCCATAAGGTTTGAAGCTGGAAGGGTGGTTAGAATAAGGGAACAGCCATTTAGGGTTTTGGTTCGGCACGCGAGAAATCACTTTACTGTTATGAACGGACAGTGAGAATTAGCAAGGAGAATTAGCATTTTCATCACTTGGGGAGCAGAAGAAGAAGTTCACAGTATTAAGACCAAACGTCTTGGATGACGCTTTGTGTAATTTCAGACTGACTTTATCAATGTTTGATTTATATCGCAAAATGCGCCACAGATGTGTGTGTTTGTTATGAATTCTTTTGATTTGTAATTTACTGCAAAATCGTCGTCTTATTTGCAGTTGTCCTTGAGATTGTCACGTAAGGCGTTTGTATCTGCGTGACGACCCCAAGAGCAATTTCAAGGAAGACTGGACCATTTTATTTCATTCGAATAAGTCAGTCAAGATATTTTTTTGTCGATTTTGCTTCTGAAAAACACTCGTTTGTGGCGTACTTTGAGGCGAAATGCAAACTGCTTGATAAAGATGAGTCTGATTTTTACCACAAAGATGAAGTAAGAGTTTATCAAAAGCAGAACTTAGCTCTCTCTTGATTTAAACCAGCTAGTACTTTAAGCTCAAAATTCGAGTGTTGGTGCGAGTTTGAGAAAGACCTTAAACTGTTGCCGCTCAGCAACAATGAAAGAATTTGCGTTGGCGAGAGTTTTTCTAACAGAGTTGCCAAGCCCTTTTACTCGCGCGAGTGTTTTTATTTTTTGCGAATTAATGTTTTTCCAAATTTGCATCGACACTTGAACTTTGTTGTTGAAGTACTTATGGTTTTGTCAATCGCAAAGGCTTGGATACAGTGAAGCATTGTGCGCAGTAAATTTACGTCGTTTTTTTAGCGCTGAGATTGTTGTGAGAGCGATGTGTAAAGAAAAGTAATTCGTTAAATTCGATTTATCTTTTACAACATTGTATGCAACAATCGCTTGGTTAGAAAACGGTGTAATTTAAAGATTAGTTTAAACTAGCGACTTAAACGCAAGCAGAACCGGTACAACTGAGTTTAGTGGGATCGTCAATAACAAAAGCATAAGCAGAAACATGGGAAGAAGGAACACACTCATTCTTTCTTGATTATTACTAATTCACACAATTAAAGAGCAAACACAAGAAGAATAAAACGAACCCGTTTGATTTTCTTGTTTTTGTGCTTTAAATGCGTTAATTACTGCTGAGGATAGAAAGAATGATTGCGTGCTTTCTCCTGTGTTTGTGTTTATTCTTGTGCTGTTACGTCCGCTCTTAACTTGTGCTTGTGTTTATCTCACTGGTGTAAACAAATCTTTACTGCGCGCAATGTTTTACTGTGTTCGAGCCTTTAGGGTGTTTATCTGGTTCACTCAAGTAGTTGGATTACAAAGTAAACAGCACCGGTACTGAAGATAACAATACTTTATTGAAGAAATAAAACTTGTCTCTGTCGTCCATTTTTTCACAATAAAAAAAATTAAAAAAAAAGTAATCTAGCCTCCCTCGCCCCTGCCGGACTGCTTCCACTCTGCTCCAAGTCGGTGTTCATTCTTCTGTCCTCATTTAATATTCCAACTTTAAAATCCTGGTCTGTTTTATCTGATCCCTTCATTCAAGCTGGGGGCAGTTGGACACTTAGAAAATTCAGCCGTTTGTTCCCAAGTAGGGTGGGCAGCGTGAAGAAAAGTGAGAGTTTGCTCCTCATGCCCTCAGGGTGTCATTCATTTACGTCACAATACCACACCGGCCAAAAATAATTCTCAGCGAAAAATATAATTTGTTTTAGTTGAAGACGCGTATCTACAAAGTCAATATATCGTGAAAATATCCAGAGACTCGGACAAGAAAAAAGAAAGTGCTACAGAGTCAAACTCACTTTTCAGCGGAGTCTCCGTCAGAAACGAAGGCAGAGAATTGAACAAAGAATCACGCTGGTCTGACTGACCTTCATTTCACAAACTTCACCAAAGAGCACAAGTCAATAATAATCTCTCCTCTGCGAAGCAACTGATGCTGGATTTCCCTCGCCCTATTTTAATGTTTAGTGTTTAATATTTAGGTCACAATGAAATGAAATTTGTTGCCGAAAATAAGATATTATTCGAGCGCCGTTTATTATCATTTAACCAAAAATGCCGAAGTGCCGCGATTAAGTTTTGGTCTTAATGTTTCGTTTCAAATTCAATATCTAAAATTTGCCTGCCCTATTGTGAATTAGGATGCCGTTATTTAAATTCAGTGCCGAATAGATTTCGCCAAAGGGATTAGATCTAGAGCGACTTTGTAAATAAATATTTCATTTAAGTTAAATTTTGGATCCTTTTACTTCCAATGAAAATAACGGACAAATTTTCGCATTTCGAAACGAAAAAGGAAATTAGCGGAAATATATATATTTTTTATCCTATAAAGTAAAATTAAATATTAGCTGGAAAAAATAAGATTTGAATTTAAGTC